CTGAACAGTTACATAATAAACATTCAAAATAATCATAAAGATGCTTAATGGGATTTAAATCTGAAGATTAAGCAGGTTAATTAATTAACTTTTTAATTTTTTTTAGCATCCTATGATTTAACATCATTGAATATATAAATGAATACATTATCATATTAAAATTGTAAGATCAGTTACAAAATTTTAACTAATAAATAATAACAATTATCATCTAAAATTTTTATACAATAATAAATAAATATGTAAACAAGAAGCAAAGCTTTCAATTGGTATTAAAATTAATTAACTATATTATATACAATTTTATAAAAATTGTAAAAAACTAATTATATGAACTTATTTTCAGATAGTGTATAAGATTATAATTCTAGAATTGTAAGTTCTAATTTTAATTTTTATAAAACTGCAATTCTAGAATTACAATTTTAAAACAAAGTCTTAGAATTTAATCCTAGAACTTAAGTTTATAGATTAGGTCTTCTTTAGAATTAGAAGTTTTAGAACTGAACTAAAATTAGACTGGATTTAATTATTTTTAAAAAAAAGTATCAAAATTATTTAAATATAAATAATAATTTCAATTTATCCAATTTGCTAAAACTAAAAATATGATTTTAAATTAAATTTGGATTGATTTATTAAAATTCAAATTAGGATTTTAAATTAAATTTAAGCAAATTCATAAAAACTTAAACGTGTATTATGTTAAAATAATTTAAAGTTTTGCTATAAGTAATTTGGTAAATCATCTTATAAAAATTATAATATTTAAAAAAATTAATAAAATAATATTATAATTTATTATCTAAAGCATAGCAAAGAATAATCAAATACTTGATATATCAAATATCATATTATTCTATCTTGCATATTGATCACTAATAAAATTCTATATTGCTGATATCATGTCATGTATATTCACAAAATTTAATCATTAAAATTCAAACACAATAAAAAATTAAACATAAATTAATAAATTATGATTTTTATTATAAATTTTATTTAAAATTATACTTAGACTAGAACAGTTACCATTTTTTAGTTTATAATTATTATTTTTAATAATATTTTTTATAAATATTTATTTAATATTTTATTTAATTATAAAATAAATCTATCTAATAATTTTTATCATAATTAATTAAACAGGTAAAAATTAAACTACATAAAAAATTATAAAATCAAGAAATAAGACAAGTTATTGCAGAATGAATAATTTTTCTAATTAATGATATCAATTATTAATCTTATATTTTTAATTCTATCTAATAAAAGAATAAAAAAAGAATTTAATATTAGTTATATCAATACAATTAAGAAATTAAAAAATTGCTAGAAAATACTTTTGAATCAAATTTCTTTAATAACTAATCTTTAAGCAGCCAAAAGTAAGCATAAACATATTGATATAAATTTTACATTAGATGTTAAGTGATTTTAATATATATTATTATCTTTTTACTATAAATGTATCTATATCTATATTTAAAAAAAAATATTTTATTATTTTTTTAGCCGAATTTGATTTAGAAAGAAAATTACTTGTATTATAATTAATAATAATAATATGGTTAATATAATTAATTTATGATATGGTCTTGATCATTTACCTTATGCTACTTATACTTTACAATTTTTAATTGATTATGTATAAAAAACTAGTATTTATATTAAATAAATAAAGTGTTTAATGCATTTTTTTAACATCTTGATGATGCTTAAAAAGAATGTTGACATTATAAAAATTATTTAACATCATCAGAAACTCCTAATAATTCTACTGATAATAATTCTAATAAAGATAATATTTCTAAAATTCTAATAATAGTTAATATTTAAGCTAATTTAGAAAAATAAATTTTACAAAATATTACTAATATAAAAATGCGATAGAAATCAAAATATTATTCTTAAAATCATTTATTAAAATTACATAAAGCAATTGAATAATTAGCAAAAACTTTACTTTTATCAGATATTTTTGATGATTATGCAAATGAATAAAACAGCTTTTGTTATTTTATGAATAGGATTTATTAAAACAGATAATTAATTTATTAAAACTATTCGATGGAACATCCTATGATAATTTATTCTTTAATTCAAGTTCTTAAAGAAAATATGTATGTGACTTTTATTTAGCTAATTTATAATTTTTTTATAAATGTTTTTAATTTTCAACATCAGATGGGTTGATTGCTAGGAAAATCAGGTTCCGGGAATTTTTTAGCAAAATTGAGATTTTTATTGCATTTTAGTTTTGATGTTATTAGATTAAAATGTATTAAGCTCTTAATTTTAGTCAAAGATTTCTCGGAACCTGATTTTCCTAGAAACACTCCCAGATGATTATTATGATAAGTAATAATAAATAAGTCAGAGTTTGATACTTCAACATTATCAACACTAATTCATCATAAAACCCGATCTATTACAACAGTTACAACAAATACCACTTATGCTGCAATTGAAACTCCAAATAATGAGACAGACTATTTATTTATTGGGATCAACCTATAATGATCGGTCTTTTACCATCTCTTTTGGATCCATGGTTGAAACACTTTCTACTTGGGATGAAGACATATAAAATAATGCTAAAGCAGAATTAAAAGTGCTAATTTGAAGAATTAATCAGATCAAATTTGACACAATCATCATCTCTTTCTGAAAATTTAATTCAGTAAAACTCTATTTTTCATTTTGTAGTCGATTGCATTCTTCTATTTTTAGTGTAGTAACAGCTTCAAATTATTTCTCTGAATAGATTATTATTTGATCCTATTCATACTCCAATTGCCATTCGGAAATATTTATCGTTATTTATTCCTGGTCTAATAGTTTTAAATGCGTTCGTTTAGCAGTAATTTGATTACCAGCATCAGAAAACAATCATTCGCTAGGTACCGAAGTAGCAAAATCGGACGATATCATTTAATTATATAATATGAAATTATATTAAATCAATTTAACATTTTATGAAAAAATTTTAACCAGGGTGACCCGATTTTAAAAATAAAACGGACATCCGGGTCCCGGTTCGACCCTTGACATATAGGTAGGTGTCAATCAAAAAATTTGTCATTTGACAATTTAACCTAAAACACAGTTTTATTTGTTTGCATTATTACATAATAAAAATTTTTGATCGAAAAAAAAATTGTAAATTATGACAGAGGAAAGTTCAGATACAACGAAAGTTCCAAATAATAATGAAAATGAACAGCCTAATCCACCTAAAAAAACCAGATCTGCAAGTGATGCAGAAAGACGTAGAGCGAGAAGAGAGAGAAAAATCTTAGGTGATGCTGGTAGTAGATTACATCGTATAACAGCTACTCATAATCCTTCTTTAAATACAGTAGGAGAAATTTCTTCTACTTTAACTACACCATTGACTAGTAGAAGGTCCTCGCCTCAGCCCAGTCAAAAGTCTTCGCCTACCACTACCGAAGCACCAGATAATCCCTTCTCACCAAAAAGAAAGAATACTGGAAATTATGGTATGTACTTTTTAAAATTATGAAAGAATATCTTTGAGATTATAGCTTTCAATCTATAAAATAAAGAGAATTAATTAATTTCGAATTGTTGAAAAAAAAAAAAAGTTTTAATAAACAAATTTATTGATTTTTTATAGATGCTTCATCACCAACAATAGTTCCTCCTTCAGTTGTTGGTTCATCCAATACAACATCTGAAAAAACATTTCCTAGTATTAGAGTTAGTGATCCTCCAGATTGTTTTGAGACAATGCCGCAAAATATATCACAAGAAGACAATTATCCAGTTCATCCGACAACGCCAACTAGATTTCCTTCTGGAATTCCTTCTGTACCTTCAACTCCCTTGAATCCATTACCATCAACAGCTAGTATGTTAGGTGAAGACGAACCAAATGGAAATTATGGACATTTTGATAATCAGGATGAATACATTCGTCAAATTTTAGGGAATTTTGCAGCAGGAAATTATCAAGCAAGAAATAGTAGTACGACCTCACTAGCTTCAACTATAGGAGGTAGTGAATATCAATTTAACCCGCAGCAAATTGGTGGAATCCCTGGATTATATACAGCACAAGATGAATATATTCAACAAGATATTTTACAACAACAACAACAATTGCAGCAAATTCCTTTTCCTTTTCAACAATTCCTTAATCCTGATATGAAATTTTTTAATCCGTTTGGAGGTGCAAGTCAACAACAGGTGGATTTACAATCAAAATTATGGCAGGTTATACATTTTGGTATAATGATATTATTAGGTGGTTTAATTGCTTGGGCCGAATTCTTGAGAGAAAAGGGCGCTTGGACTAGATTTTATTTATTGAATTATGAAAGGCCGGAAGATATAATCGCTACTGAAAGTATTCCATATATGGTAATATTTTAAATAAGTTTATATTAGGATTTTACGTTTATATTATTCCGAGTAACTTCAAGTGGTTTAATTTCTCAAATTAGAGAGTATTTTGGTACTTCATAACTGTGGAACTTATATTGCAATCTTCTAGAATGTTCTTTCAACAGGTAAATTATTTATAATCATTTGTTTTCTTTCGTTCGTTAACCTAATTGATCTATTAATATAGGATCGAGTATTTCAAGGTTCAACGTTGGGTCAATTCGCTCGTAAGCTACCTGCACCATTTTCTGATGTACTTACTGTATTATTAAGATATAATTTAATTTGGAATAGTCTTTGGGAAGACATATGTATGCTAGTATTTATTGTTGGATTTACTATAACAATTTCCCCCTTTATAAGTTATTTTGCTTAGATTTTACACTTAGATTCAAGTTGGTGGAATTGTAATTACAAAAATGGATAACTTATTGTTTATTTTTTTTTTTTTTTTTTTTTTTATTTAACCAATAATTTTAAGGAAAATAAAATTGGCTTCAATTGTGTTAAACGTTGCTTTTTAATGGATTTTATTTATTTATTTATTTATAAAAGATTACCAGTTTTTTTTATAGTAGATTTTTAAGTAATTAAGTAAGTGGTAACAAATCTTCCATTAATAATCTCTGATATTCTGTAACGATTCCTTTGATTTTAACTAAAACCCACGCAGCCATGGACCGAGCTTGTTCATTCATCTTATTTTCAAAGATAGCTTTTGTAGGAAATTTTTTTTTTTTTTTTAAAAAAAAAGCTTTTAAATACTTATAAAAAACAAATATAACTTAACTTACTTGTAACCCATTGGTTTGTTTCAATTAATTCTTTCCCATATGATTCTGCCAACTCTCTTTCTGAACTTGTATTAAGTATTACATTTATTCCAAATAAAATTGAAGTTAATACCGCAAGATCATCAAAAAATCTCAAAGAAAGTATCAAATCCCAATATTCGCGCGTTATTTGTGTAAGAGCAATCGTGTTTACTATTTGTTCCAAAAAGGTGGGATTTAACAATAAATTGAAATGAGTTGAACAAATTAACAAAATAAACTTACCAGAGCATTGAACAAATACTCCTAACGTAGTTACGTATCTTTGTATTAATGTTGGATCCTTCATAAAATTACCAAGATCACTAAAAAATTTTGTCATGTAGAAATTAATTTATATACATCTTTTTTTTTTAAAAAAAAAAGAGCCCACCCTCTCTAACCTATCACGTGTCAAATTCCAAAATCCAGCCGTTAACGGGAAAAAGAAAGTCTTTGCCGCCAATTCATTAAACCTATTAACAGAAGTTGTACGAGCCGATTCAACCAACGGTTTACGAGAAAATCTGCGAACTTTATCATTACTTGTTTCTTTTAAACTTCTTATGTTAGTGAGATCTAATTTACTAATTTCTTGGGATAATGTATCTATTATAGCGGTTTCCTTTTCCTTTTTATCTTCAATGCTCTTAAGTAGAATATGAACGTGTTAATACATAATGCTTCCAGTATAGTATATATTATATGGCAAAAATTAATAGTTAAACCTCGTTTACCTGTAATCCAGCCAATTCTCTTGCACCTGTTGATAATGTTGATAAAATCATATATCTTTCCGCAAGTGAATATTTTTTTTCGAAAAATTGTTGAATAATAAATCTGTAAATTAAAAATTATTTTAGTAAAATTGATGAACAAATGAATTTCACGTTAAACTAACTTACGGTACGGCAATTTTCGGACTTCCACATATAAGAGCTATCATTGCTGCGTGTCTATTTTCTTCAAATCCTGTCAATTCAAAGTTATCTTGCAATCCAATAAGAATCTTGGCTAGTTCCGTGGCATGGTCATCTTTTTTTTTTTTTTTTTAAAAAAAAAAAATCATTTATATTTATAAAAATAACGTAAAAATATCTAAATAAATACCAACCTAATTCTGTTCCAAAGCCGGTCTTCTGCCTAATTAGGTTTTTTGCAGCATTCATTGCTACCTCCAACTTACCAGGATCATCTGAAGCTTTTAGATATGTTAATAAATCTATAATATAACTATGTAAATTTAAATTAGATATAATTAACTTCCAAAAAAAAAAGATACAAAGCTTATAAGAGGAAATAAATACACTGGCGTGAGTATTCTTTCCTTTTTTGTTTGTGGTATAGATTCATCTTCTTCCTCATCATCGTCACTTTCTTTTTCCATTGGATAAGGCACAAAATCGTCTTCATCATCAGAATCTACAACGCGCGTTTCATTATCATCTTTAACATCCTCTGTTTTATAATATAAGATATTTGCTAATTGTTATAATCGTTCGCATGAAGCAATTATTATGAAATAAATAATAATAAAAAATTATTTAACTGATTTCGACCAAGTCTTCATTATTGACATTATCTTCATGATTAGAATATTCTTCCGAAATCTGCTCTCCATTCAGATCGGCTTTATCAAGAAAAATTTGCGATTATTATATTACATTTCAAAATAGTTATAAAATTATTTATAAATATATACATAATAAATACCTTCAACCTTATCTTCGTAATCAAAATCAGGCAAGTCTACAATTCCATCCTTAAGTTCCACCAATTGTCTAAAATATTTCACGTCATCGTCTTCAGGATTTAGCTCAAAGTCCAAAACGTTTTCTAATACGTCAGTTAATTTTGAGAATATTTCCGCAGTAACCTATTGAACCATTTCACAAATATTAAAAAGCAGCTAATTAGAAAACGTGTAAATCTTCAATAGAATACCCATAATTCAAGAATAAATCTTATTCAACCATTCCCATCTTTCTCGCTTCTTCAGATGTGCTCTGTAGCCATCGAGTGATTCCAGGTGTGATATCCCTCAAAATTGCGGCTTTTATCAAAGTAGACTTTGGAAGATATCCAAATATTATTAGAATGGCACTAGTAATATCTGTAAAGGCTTAAGCATTTTGAATCTAACTAGAAATTAATATTTCTTAAATAAATGTTTTACATACACATTTGCACGGAACTCGATGCATGCTTAATGAACGTAGGATCAGACCAGGATGATATGAGCGTTTTAAGTAATAGCGTCAAGTCTATTTTTAAAGATAATATAGTCCGGAGGTAAAATTTTAATTATTTTCAAATGTAATATGTAGAATTAATTTATGAAACAAATACCATCATTAGGCCCTAATCTAAGGTTATCTATTTGACCGGTAAACGTTTGCATCATATCATCGGGTCGATCTTGAAATCCACCCCAACTCAAGAAACAACAAAGAACTCGGACAATGCTGATAGGAAAAATTTTTCCTCCAACGAAATATTTGAATTTGATTAAGTAAGAGACAAATTCGTTATTATCTTTCCCGATTAATAAACTTAGTAGTGTAGCAACTTTGCGTACTAGGTAACGTGATTTATCTTCGGTGGATACAGGATTTGTGATCTTTGAAAGATCTTGACTTTGAGAGTGAAGAAGAAATGCTGTAAGAAATGACTCAGCAACATGTGATGAGAATGATGAAATCATGGTTTTCCAAATCTTGTAATATATGTAAGATGTAGAATGATGAAATCTAATTAATAGACTTTTATATACTGTTTGCGCTAGGATTTCTGTGTTCGGTTTGTAGATAATATAAAATGGTACTTTGTAAGTAACTGTAATTTTTATTTATCTATTTTTTTTTTTTTAAAAAAATAACATCAAATTATTAAAATTGATCCAAATAACATTAACGCACTTGAATGTCCAATTCTACATATTTTGGAAAATAATTCATTACATGCGAATACCAGAGTTTGAATCTCATCCTCTAAGAATTCAAATTTCCATAAGATTAGCAGGGAAATTTACAATTTTTCAATGATGAGTTATGTAATATACATGCCTTTCAAATCATTTTTTTCACTATTACTATAAAGAAGATATTCACCATCAACTGTAAATTTATCAAATAGCTTTCTGAAAGTTATTTTGAATGTCATAAACACATTAAAGATAATAAAATACGATAATTCAACATTATTTTATTTAAAATATTTTTATTTTGTTCAAATAAAATTGAATATAATAACAATAATACAAAATCTTGAAAATATCCAACAGGATACGTTTCGCTCAAGAAACTACTTTCTTCTCTGGATCCTAAATTTTGATTAAAAGCCATCAAATTCGCGGATCTTTCAGGTATTGAACAAATTAATCCAACAAATTCTTTCCATTCCGAATATCTTTCTCTTATATCGACTTCTTCATTCTTTAAAATCGCATCAAAAAAATCTTGAATAGAATAGCTTTTCAAAAGTGAAAATACGAATTTTTGAATTATTGTTGGTAAATACGTTTGATGTTTTTGATATATCTTCAAATCATTCTGTGATTGATAAGAAGTAGAAAAATAAGATACTAAAACTTGCAGTGAGATGCTTGCTCTTTTTATTTTCTGTAAATTTTTGGTTCCTTTTGGAACAAAATATTCCATTACAAGCATATCTTTTTGTCTTCGTAATAATGTTTCAGACCAATTAATTATGATATTATCTATTATAAATTTTAAATGCTTAGAGTAGAGCTTTGTAATGAAATATTTTTGAGATCCGGGACTCGTGGCTGGACCATGCCATGAATTTCCATTTTCAAGAAAGTCTAAAGGTTCCTGTAAAAAATCTATAACGGATTCTATCGTACTAGTATCTAAATTGTTTTGAAGAGTTCGTAGATAGTTACGTAAAAGTTTTTCAGTGGAAAAATTGCTTGTTTCCATATGAACTAGAAAAGAAAATATATTTATTTCAGATATAGATAGCAAATCTGACATATATAATGATGTAGATCACCAGTATGATGATGTAATCGTAATCACGAAAAATTAAATGGCATACGCAAAATTTATACGAAGAGAGGCATTATATCTTTATCTATTTGAATTACTATAAGTGAAATTTCGAAAGAATTAATCGATTAGGTATATATTACGTGGAGTATAAAATCAACCTAATACGGGGAGTATCTCATTCTTAATATTCGAAGAATCTAATTCAAAAAGACGGAATGGTTTATTATGATTTTCTAAAATAATCGATCATAACATAATTACTGTATTCGCAAAAAATCGACCTTTGCAATAGATAGTGGAGACACCGGGAACAAAAAATGAATTAATGCTAAAGCTACACATATCTCGAAAATCATATTTGGCATATAAAAGTAAATTTGATTTATCTGGCCCTTCTAATTGCAAAGGCATATATATACAGTACCTGCCAATTATAATTTTCTTTTTATTAAATCACATTTGGTGTAATAAGTAAAAGTTGTGCGACATATATTTATAATTAAACATAGAATTTTCTTGTTCTATTAACAAATATATTTCTTCAATTTTCAGATTAATTACATTTATTCTTGTAGAGAATATACTATTTATATGATTAAAATATTAAATTTATAAATTAAGTATTATCACAATTTAAAAAATTTAAATATTTCACATAACTTAACTTCACTGTATCAAATTTACAAGCTTAATTAATAAAAAAAAATAGATTGCATTTATCAAATACAATGTTTTATTATAACTAAAATCTTATATTAATACATAAATATTATATTAAATATATAATATAAATTTTTACTATTAATCAGATTTCCATAAATCTTTATATATATGTATTTAATTATGATATTTCTAAGCTTATTTTATTAGAAAAAAATTATATTTAGCTTATAAAATAAAAATTTTTTGTTGATAGTTTCTTTCTTTTATTGCAAAGTATTTATATATATAAAAAGCTATCAATAAAATAAATTTAAATTTGCAATATAAATTAAACTAATTAAAAACTTTGTATTTCATACTTATCAGATAACTATTTGATTATATTAAAATAAATATATAAGATTTTCTATTAAATTAATAAAGAAAAATAATATTTTTAAGAGCTATTTAGAATTTTAAAGAATTTTTATTAATTTAAAATGTATTTAAATCAAAATTTATAATTATATAAGTTAAAATATGAATTTGCACAAAGTTTTATAGCATTAAATATCTTTTTTTAATGAATCAAAACTATTGTAATACTAGAAATATATTATATAAATAATTGTATAATTAGCTATTTTTAGACATTGATGCCTTTGAATTTAAGTCACATTTGAAAATTTGACATAAATCTTGAATTGCACTTTTAAAGGATATCGAACGTGAAGGAAGAAACATTTAAATTCATCTAAATAGTCACAATAAGCCTTCGCCTATTACATAATTTCGTTAATAATATGTGAAACATTCAACAGGAAAGAATTCTTCCTGGTTTTGTGACATATTTGATAAATTTGAATTTTCTATTTGCAACCTATACTTATATCGAAAATGCATACTGTTTACATACTACAATTACGAACATAGTTGATAGATTATCATTTTATTATAAATA